AAAATGATGGAAAATGATAAAAAAATGAAAAAAAAACGAAAAAAAAATTAAAAAAAAATGAAAAAAAAACTCGAGGAACATTGCAATTTTCCAAAAAATGAAAAATTGCAATTTTCCTCGTTTTTTTCATTTTTTTTCGCTTTTTTTTCATTTTTTTATCATTTTTTTATCATTTTTCATCACTTTTCATCAATTCCACCACTGGAAGCAAAAATGATAAAAAAATGAAAAAAAAACTCGAGGAAAATTGCATTTTTTTATTTTTCGGAAAAATTTTGCACCACTGGAAGCAAAAATGATGAAAAATGATAAAAAAATGATTAAAAAATGATAAAAAAATGAAAAAAAATGAAAAAAAACGAAAAAAAATGAAAAAAAAATGAAAAACTCGAGGAAAATTGCAATTTTTCATTTTTTGGAAAATTGCAATTTTCCTCGAGTTTTTTTTTTCATTGTTTTTTCATTTTTTTATCATTTTTTTATCATTTTCCATCATTTTTCATCATTTTTCATCAATTCCACCACTGGAAGCAAAAATTATAAAAAAATGATTAAAAAATAAAAAAAACTCGAGGAAAATTGCAATTTTTTATTTTTCGGAATTTTTTTGCACCACTGGAAGCAAAAATGATGAAAACTGATTAAAAAATGAAAACAATGAAAAAAAATGAAAAAAATGAAAAAAAAAACGAAAAAAAATGAAAAATAAAATGATAAAAAAATGATTAAAAAATGATAAAAAAATGAAAAATAAAATGATAAAAAAATGAAAAATAAAATGATAAAAAAAATGAATGAAAACATAAATGAAAAAAAAAGATAAATAAAATGATAACCAAAACGATAAAACATGAAAACAAAAATATTTTAACAATTTCCAATGTGTAGCTGTCTCGGTTTTTCATAATCCTATGATTTTAATCACGACCCATTAAACCTCAGTTCTTTTTATCATAGGGTAAGCAAACATAGATGTGGAAAACCAATGGTTTCCTTAGGAAAGTGATCTACTTTCATGGTGGATTTTCAACATTGTTTTTGCCTATTTACAGTAGAGTACAAACCGCAGCGCCTAAGCCTCCATATATTGAAACATGATTTTAACCATGATCCATATATAGAACCTCAGTTTAGTCGTATATCAATATATGTATGCATATGTACACACATAAATTATATATATTATATATTATGTGTATATATATATATATCTTCCAGCCATGATGAAATTCCAACCATGATCAGTTTCTTTTTGTTTAAACAACACATCACGTCGACATCTCAATGCCAGGGCAAGAGCGTGGCGTCAGTGACCTACGTCAGCGACCACGACTTCAATGCCTTGACCAAGCCGCCCAGGTGCCGCCGGGCGGACATAGGATTTATCCAATATATTCCAATATATGAAGTAACAAAATGCATATATATATATATATAAATATGTAATGGGATAATAGGGGAAAATTAGTGCCAATTTAGTACAGTTTAATTAATGGGATAAGGCAATGACAATTGGAGTGGGAACTGGAATGATGGGAATTGGATTGGAATGACTATCTCCAAAGAGCCGAACTTTTCAGGCTACTGTATGATCATTATTTGTCCAGATGAATTTTAGGAGGGACATCATCCCAAACACGGCTTAGAGATGGCAACATGCTTGGTCATGTTCTTGGTACCAGTGGAGTTGTTGGGTGATCCACTGATCCTTTCCACAAGATGATGAGATCTTGTTAGTCAGCACGGCAAATCTGTAATCGGATATGCTCTGGATCAATTTACCCTCTGGTAAACGTTTACATAACTATGGAAAAACCCATTTTTTTATGGGTGAATCAACTATGAATGGCCATTTTCAATACCTATGTTTGTTTACCAGAGGGTATGTTGTGGGTCTACCACTGGATGTTTGCAGCAAAAAATAAAGAACACGCATGATTTTGCAGTTTTTTGGGGAAGGAGGGAGGAAGGGTACCCATCAGCCAACCCAAGCCACCAACGCACACCAATGGTTCCAGAGAAACAACTGTAATTTAATTGTTATATTTGTTGCAACGTATGTAAGACTATAGGCCTATGCCCATGTTTCTCCATGATATTGGAAGCAACTAGAACCATAAAATTATATATATATATAATAGTGATATCTCCTTTAATCTAAGAGTATCTAAGACTATTTGGGTCAACCTTGGTTAGATACTTTAGTACTTTCATTTTTTGCTGTCAGTTGTAAGATGTACCAACCAGCTCTAAACAAACAAAAATGAGAGGTACCCTCCAGTAAATTAACATAGACCCTGGTAGATAGGGGTTGGAAGACTAGTTTCCACTATAAATTGGTCATTTTCAGGGTCTATGTTAATTTACCAGAGGGTATCCAAGATTCACCATGCTATGGCTATAACCTATGAAGCATTGGAAAAATCTGGATCTCCCAAGCGCAGGATGAGTTCCCCCTGCCCAGGTCGCGCTTCTGTGAGGACCAGCTCTGGAAAAGCGCCTCGCGCACGGCCGGGCCCAAAGAGCCATGCTTAAAACAACAAACATGGGGAAAACACATGCTGTTCCATCGACTTTCGGTAGGTCCCGTAGGCATGCGTGTGGTATTTTGCCATGAAAAGTCTACGGCACGGATTGACATTGAATGCGAGTCAGTTGTTCTGTGTTTCAATGGCAATATACTTTGATGGGAAAACAATGATGTTTTCAACATGTTTCAACGGTGAAATTGCACCCACATATTCAGAGAAACCAATTTCAGGACATCCGTTGCGCGGCCATCAGGTGATTACCAAAAAGGAACGCAGCGAAGGTTTGCAGTACAAGAGGCGCTTTTTCTGCATGCGGAACCTGGATGCCCCCGGTGAAAGTTGTAAATGATTTTCCCCTACAAAACTCCGTTGAGTTCGGGGATTTCCCATTGCCGCGCTTGACTACCAGAGGGTAGATTACATTGGGAGTGCCCTCACTATACACAAGGCGTCGATATAAGCAATCAAACACAAGTACTTTCAGAGTTACAACGCTGCATCATGAGGACAGAAGTGCGGGGGATGTATGGATTTTGCGCTGATTCTTTTCCATGATTGCTGTAGGTAACCTGAAAAAACACAGCAGCTATTTAAATCTATCTCATTTTTTTGATGACCATTACTTTTTCTTGTGTTTGGCGGGATCACGAAATCACTGTCCAGTCCCAAGATATTTTTTTTTTCGGGGACATTGCCGGAAAAGCCACTGATTTTGGCTTTAAAAAAACGCTGGCTTTCTGTCAGGCAATCCATTTAGCTGTCACATCCCCCCCATTGCAAAATAATTACCCTTTGGTTATTTAACATAGCCATGGAAAATGGCCCATTTATAGATGGTTTCCCTATTAAAAATGGGTGGATTTTCCATGGCGAACTGTTCAATAACCAGAGGGTATATACCTCTTTAGAAAGCCACTTAGATCTATCCAGTTTCGTACATTGGATTGATTCATTTTTAGAGTGCCCATGGGTGGTACCCTAGGGTAAACATGCAACAAAATTTGTTGAAAACCCATGGTTTCCCTAGGAAAATGATCGACAAATGGTGGGTTTCCCACATTTCTTTGTTAGTGGGGTGACAGGAGGGTACAAATTGGTCGTACAATGGAGAATTCATGATGTACCGGAAACATCCGGAAACCATATTTTTTTCTGAAGATTATGCCAGACTTTCCTGCCGAGTTTCCTCATTTCACATCTATGTTAGTTTATTGGAGGGTATCATGAATATATTTAAGAGTAAAAAAAACATAGGCCCTCCAAATAGGTATTATATGGTATTATCGTAGTGTAGTCATGGCCCTTTAGTCATTTTAATAGGTACCTCATCTATTTCTATGGGCCATAGCTTCCATACCCATGTTCAATAACCAGAGGGTATCTTCCAGGCCGCATCACTACGGAGTTCACCTTTGAGGCTGGGACAGTGCTGTTCCACGGCCGATGTACAAAAAGAAATGGTGTGATTTTTGTGACTTGGGATAAGGTGATATAATTGGGATATGATGTGGGTTTTCATATATTTAGTGGATTTTTGGGGATACACTCTGGCATTTTGTTGCAGAGCTATTGGAAAATCACCGTGGACCATGTTCAATAGGTACATCATCGAACTAATTTGTGCCATATTGTGCCATTTGGCATGGCAAACTGTTGAAGTATAGCAGAGGGTACATGCGGCATATCTCGACATATTGTGGATGATGTTCCGGAACTGCAGAAAGGTTTCGAGTTTTGTGCGTCTTCCCTATATTTGATGGGGTTCACCGCCATTTTTTGCTGTTCAGAATGGGTGAATCCCCAGGCGCTGACTTTGAGCTCACGAGTCCCTGGACCCTTGGTGAGACCCAAAGATATCGCTGTGGCGCAGCGAAGAATATGTGAAAAGTGACCCGCAAATAGAACGGATAGGAAGACAGAGATTCTATTGAGAGTGATTCGGAATTTTCTATTTTCCTTAATGTTGTATGTGTGCAAGTTGCATGGTCCCAAGCCAAGTGTTCATGTGGATTTTTCCAGTTTCACTTGCAACCAAATGCCAGTCCACCACTGAAAAAAAGAAACATTGCCGCTTGCAGAGGTCAAGCTGTGCCTCCACCATTCTGTTTTTGTTTGGGCAAAGCTCACGGTGGCTCGCCCGAGGCTATGGCCATGTTTCTTCACTTGCCCCAGCACAGAGATGTGGAGAGAGACTTCCAACACCAAGCATTTGTGCAGATGTGTGCTTGCCTCGTGATATTTTGAAGATCAATCAGTGCCAAGTTTGTCCAATTGACCCATGCAGCTTCAGCCAGTGGACCCCGCGCGCAACTCTGGGCGCAAGCTTGAATACCTTCATTCATGGGTTTTGTTCTGTAATTATAATTATCAGAACGTAGAGAGGGCTTTTAGACTACGTAGACTTTTAGCCGAAATACCTCAAGAACTTGACCAACCTGAGCATTTTTCACCCCCTAAACTCCTTTGTAAGTCATCCCAGCGGCATTGACTCCCAGCCATGTGGCGCAGCGGGCGTTGACATGCCATTGCGGAAGTCCAACTGGAACTTTCTTCAGCAGGCTGGGTCCCAGATGGCCAGGTTTCTGCGAAATTCTCAATTATGGTACCCATAGGATCCATGGTGCTGCTATATATGGTAACATTTACCATCAATATACCCCATTGTTGTTAGTATATATACCAGCACCATGGATCCGTCATGGGGTATATATATACTACGGTATGTATTGTAAACCGCCCGCAGCTGAGTTCCTAAAGAGTTGATCGGGGCCCCTCCGAATTGACAATTCACCAGTCCAGGCTTGTCAATGACTTTTCCTATGATGAGATACCCCCTGGTCATTTAACAGTTCGCCATGTGAAATGGCCCATAGATGTATAGATGGTTTACCGTTCTTAAAAATGGGTGGATTTTCCATGGCTATGGCACAAATAACCAGAGGGTATCAAATCTCTATCTCTGGACGTATCCTGCAGCTTCCCCAGGCACACCGACAAAAGCTGATTCGAGAGGACGATGTGGACTCCGGAAATTATCAGGGAGGTGTTCTGACCCAGCGGGCAGAGAGCAACCGTTCACGACAGCCCTCCTGTAAACATATGTGAACATACAAAAAGATGCGGGAAAGGCAGCATAAAAAATATAGGTTGATGGTTTCAAACATGTTTTATTTTCCATAATATATGGGATGTCATCCTTCCCATTGATTTTCATGTGTTTCAAGATAGTTAATACCACCAACCAGATATATAGATGATTTACCCACTAACCATCATCAACCATTAACCATCATTAACCCTCCATTATAGTTAATTTTCCGAAACCATGGGTCTTCCACATCTTTTTGTATGTCCAGGGTCCCCATGGCGCAATGACCTGAAACTCTCATGCTCATGTGATGGGAGAAGTTGGCAGCAATTTGGACTAAGTCAAGGCTAAAGTCAACTGAAATCTTAAACAATCTGGCCGTTTCTTCTAGTTGCTCACTAAGTCAACCAATTAATCTAGGCTGTTTCACTTGGAGGCTGAACTTAGGGTGAGTTGATTTGAAGTCCTATGGCTGTCCAAGCAGAATTCATGCTGCTGCCCTTTGCATCGTTGGTAAGCAATTTTCAGCATAGGTTGGAAAAGTGTACTGAAACAATCTGAAACAAATTGGTTGAATTGAATAACATGTTCCAATTGAGGCGCGCTCATTCACAGCCTCATCAGCTTGCATGCCATTCCGTGCTTTTATGGCATCTCTCCACATAGATAAATAGATCCAAGTAGTCTGTCAACGACATTTCAGCGACACCAACGTTGACTGGTGACACCAATGTCCCCCTTTAGCGCCCCTTGGGTCGATGATTTCAGCCTGTCAGAATGGATCCAGCCAGGCCTCTCCACGCAGAAACGCTCGGAGAGGGACAAGGAGAACGATGACACCAGGACACTGGGCGGAGGGTGAAACTTGGAAATGATGGACTGATGACGAAAGCATGGCTTATGAGAAAGCATGGGGAGTGTGATCAAGGTGGCTAATTAATGTTAGATATATACTGTACCGGTTAACTTAAGTGTCAAATGAGATTCTGATCCATTTTGTGTTGCAGTTCATGGCCCAGCTTTGCAATGTAACCTTACAAAAAGCGTCCATCTTCATCCCATACTCTTCATTGATCACACCATGGCCATGGGAACATCCCTGATGCACATCAATTTTTGGATCAACATGTCCAAGATTTTCCCATCAAAACAAAAAAAGGGACGTCCCACAATGTTCCTCCGTTGGAATTTCATAGGTTTTCCAATGGCTTTTCCAGTCGAATGTTCCATGATTTTCCTATGGCATTTCCCTATGATTTTGCCACATCCTCCAGTCGGATGAGCTAAAAAAAGCCCGAGACAGCCCTTGACACGTCGTCTCCCCCACAGGGCCGTCTCGGTCCAGGCATGACGAAGACTTCGCGGTGCTATGGGATTTGAGCAGCGAGGAAGACACGCCACGGATCAAGGTCACTGAGTTCGATGGGAAGCTTCGAAATCAGAAAGGAATGACAGGAATTGATCGGAATAGAATGTATAGTAGTGACTAGTAGTGACTAGTAGTGACTCTCAATTACCAAAAGGGGGTTATCTACTATGAAGATGGTGGTGGTGGTGGTGATGGTGGTGATGGTGATGATGATGATGAAGAAGATGATGTTGATGATGTTGATGATGACTATGCCATTTTTGATGATGTTGATGGTGACAATGATGAAGATTATTATTAAATTGTTTTTACCATTATTTGATGTTACCCTTGGTTAGGTACTTTAGTATTCTGATCTTTTGCTATCAATGATAAGATGTACTAACCCGCTCAAAACAGATTGTCCGGCAGGTATCTAAAGGTAAAGTCATATGATTGAACATTTTCATTTACCATTAGTTTACCATGTTGATGATATATCAGGGTTACCATCAGTTAAATACCATTTCAAGGTTTACCATATCTTTTTTACCATATTTACCCATCCCACCATCATTAAATCATGATATTCTTATCTATTGGGTAGATCCTAATACCTATAACAGTCAAAAAACAAATTTTCTTCATAAGTTGAGGAAGCTATTTTTTATCGCTCCCTCCGTGACACTTTTCGTGCTCTAGTTCGTGCTTTTTTTTCGCTCCCTCCGTGACACTTTTCGTGCTCTAGTTCGTGCTTTTTTTTCGCGCCCTCCGTGACACTTTTCGTGCTCTAGTTCGTGCTTTTTTTTTTCGCTCCCTCCGTGACACTTTTCGTGCTCTAGTTCGTGCTTTTTTTTGCTCCCTCCGTGACACTTTTCGTGCTCTAGTTCGTGCTTTTTTTTTCGCTCCCTCCGTGACACTTTTCGTGCTCTAGTTCGTGCTTTTTTTTTCGCTCCCTCCGTGACACTTTTCGTGCTCGTGCCTTTTTTTTCGCTCCCTCCGTGACACTTTTCGTGCTCTAGTTCGTGCTTTTTTTTTCGCTCCCTCCGTGACACTTTTCGTGCTCTAGTTCGTGCTTTTTTTTCGCTCCCTCCGTGACACTTTTCGTGCTCTAGTTCGTGCTTTTTTTTCGCTCCCTCCGTGACACTTTTCGTGCTCTGTTTCGTGCTTACTGTTATAGCAATTAGGATTCAGCCAACTTATCTACCATGTAAAATCATTATTTTTACCATTTAATATCATGTCTAACTATTGTGGTAAATATATCTACCATTATTTACAATTTCTGGTTGGTGGTTTGGAACATTTTTATTATCCAGAATATATCGTATGTCATCCTTCCCATTGACTTTCATATTTTTCAGAGGGGTGGGTATACCACTAACCAGATTTATTTACCACGTAATGTCATGTCTAAAAAAAAATATGTGGTAACTAAACGGTAAATATATCTATATCACTGCTACCTTAGCTAATAAACGGTAAACATATCTATCACTGCTGTCTTATCTTTATCTATATACCATTATTTACCATTTATTTACCATTTATTTACCATATTTACCGATGGTATCTGCTTTGAACACGTCCCTATATAGCGCGCATCCGGCCTGGCGCGCCAGGTGCCACTGTCCAAGGATGAAGCCTTGGCGGCGGTGCAGCGCAGCAAAGTGCTGAAGGGTCTCTCCATCCATGGCCAGGTCAGGGATGGTTCTGCAGTGATTTTGAGTGATGTTGTGTGGTGATTTTTTTGGGTGTTTTATGGTGATTAAAAGGGGGATTCTAAAGTGATTAAATGGGATTTTAAAGTGATTCAATGGGTTTTATATGTTTTTATAGTGATTTATAGTGAAACGCAGTGATTTCAGAGAGTTTCTAGTGATTTATAATGAATTTGTAGTGATTCAATGAGGTTTTATAGTCATCTAATGGGTTAGTGATTTAATGGGGTTTTATCAGTTTATAGTAATTTACAGTGAATTTGTTATAGTGAATCTGTAGTGATTTAACAGGGTTTTATTAGATTGTTTTATAACGTGATCTATCGAGATGTTTAATGATTTTAGTTGGATGGGGGAAGCGTTGGGGATGTAAACCCAGAAAATTGTGATTTCACCGGCAAACATGTTGGATATGAATGACGACATGTGTGATTTGAGAAACCGAAATAGAGATTTGACCAACAAAGAGTTTGGAATGTGTGAAAAACTATGGGTAAAAAATCCAGTGAAGAGTATACAGTTATGGCATGTTATGGCCCTTAACAGTTATAATTATAGTGGTATACAATTTTAATTATAGGAATTGTTTCATTCCATTTAAGGCCCTGGTAAGGGCCTTAACTGTAGGTTGATGCTTGGCAGCTTGGAGAGTTGCAGGTCCGAGTGGCTGCCCTCTTGCGCCGCACTTGCTACCAGCCGGGTGAACGCTTGTGGTCAGCACAGGAGGGAGAGGCCGGTTCCGTGCCTTTTTTGGGGGGGAGTGGTTGCTGTGATACATATGGGGGTGTCCATAGTCATGGGGGTATCCGCATAGCTGGATGGGCCCATAGGAAGTCAGTCAAATATATACAACATGGTACTTTCAGATGATGCCATCGTTTCTTTTTTTGAACGTTTTTGATGTAGATTCTTGGATGAATAGCCAGGTACCTGGGCAGGATGTTATGTTTACTGTAAACATTGGTTGACGTTGAGCAGGTTGTAGTGAATCATTCTTTGCGTGCTACAAGCGAGGGAATACAATCTTAAGCGAGAGAAGCACCTACCCGTGAAATCATCAAGTTATTAAAAATTGATCCCCAAACTGTCATTTTTTGGGATGCAAGAGTAGCACAACAAAAAGACGCATCCATTTTTTGCTAAGTGTTGGTACATCACGAAAGGTAGCCGAGACTACCTGAGCTCCACCGACTTTACTCAGTACTCAAGTTGTGTCCTGGGGGTTTGGTTCACTGAATTCCAGCCCAAAAATAAATCCAAAAAGAAACGCCAGCGAACTCCCCAGACTTCCCTATGACTTTAAGTCCCCAAACTCAAAAGCTCCCAAGATTATCCAATATATATCCAATCTTATCCAACATTAAGTGGCATTATAACTGGCATTATAACCTCTACAACTTACTGCTGCTTAGTAGGGAATGGATGGGTTGCTGGGGGTTGCTGGGGGTTGCTGGGATGATTATTACGAGTGAGCCAATGGAGCATTCCCGAAAATTCCGTGCATTTAGCATCAGTAAGACAAGTTGGTGGGTTTGGAACATTTTTTTTATTTTTCCATATATTGGGAATGTCATCATCCCAACTGACTTTCACTCCATCATTTTTCAGAGGGGTAGGTGAAAACCTCCAACCAGAGTGGCATTATAACCCCTACAGTTATGGCCCTTTACCAGTTATAAGTACTTATAACCCCATGCATAAAATGTATAATCCCACTTATAACCAGTTGTAATCAATAAATGGCCATAACTGTATGATTATCATATGATATTAGGATATATCTGGATATGATCTTCGGTTGACTTCTCCGAAACAGCCAGTATATTATAGTGGATTGTGGAAATCCCTACCAATATAAGCCCTACAAAGACTTAAATCCCATTAAATCACTATTAAATCACAATAAAATCCCATTAAATCACTATAAAATTCCATTAAACCACTATAAAATCCCATTAAATCACTATAAAATCCCACTAAATCCACTATAAAATCCCATTAAATCACTATAAAATTCCACTAAATCCACTGTTAAAGGCACCCTTCCAGGCCATTCCACGTCAGGTGCAGGAGAAACGTCTGGTGCTCATCGAGCGCGGCGACGCCGAGCTGTGGCTCCCGGAGGCCGATGGCGAGCGCTTCGTGGGACTCATTGGACCCACCAAGGCGCCGGAAGCGAGAGAAAAATGGTGTGGTTTTCATAGGGAGATCCCCAAGAGATGGATGGTTTACCATGGAAAATCTGAAAATCCAAATGGATGATGTGGGGGTACCATGGGGTACCCTCATTTCAGGGTCTACCCTCTGGATCCCTCTGGTAAACATACAGCTTGCGAACTGAAAAATCACCATCTAAAAAAGGTAAATCAATTATTTTTATGGGCCATCAAAAAATAGCTATGTAAAAAAAATACTGGGGTCTATGTTCACTGGCTATATCTGCCATGGGCACTGGCAGACTTCCTGGCTTTTGTCACAGGTGCTGGGTGGTCTCTTTGCAGTTGGCTCCGCCAGTAGGCGCTGGGGGCGGAGGTGAGAAATCATGGAGATCTGGAATAAAAGCTAGGCCCTGAGATTCAGCTGGATATCTGGATATTTGCAAGAATTCTATGTTTATTTAGGGGCGTCGCAGCAATCGTCTTAATGATGGCATCAACAGCCAGATATTTTTGATTACTTTGCTCAGGATTTCACTAAGAGTCGCCATTTCAAAGTTTGAGTAATTATGGATAGTTCGTTTTGGACCTGGTCCAACCAACATTTTACACCATGTGGAGTCCGAGGCAAGTCTTCTCGGCGCGGGTGCCGGAAGGCGACGACGCCAAGCCGCTGCATGCCTGGGAGATTGAGGGCCACTCGGTTCTGACGGTAGACTTCACTGGCCAGATGGAGAATCAGTGATGATACCCTCTGGTAAACAAACATAGCTATTGAAAATGTACATTTATAGTTGATTTACCCATAAAACATGGCGTTTTTTCCATAGTTATGTAAACGTTTACCAGAGGGTAGTGACTAATAGTGGTCAAAATCCACAACTTTCAGCAAACACAAGATATCTCTGATAGCAGTTAATCAGAGATGGCCAACCACCACAAACATTTAAAACCATGATGATCATATAGAAAGTGGACAGCACTTCTAAGAACCAACATGAAGCGACAATGGCGCATCTTACCGACATAACATGTCATGAATCGTGCTAAATTACCTCACTGATTCTGGAAACATAGTCAGTAGTTATAGTAGGGTTTAAATATACCATTTTAACATCAAACAAATAACAGTGTTACCATTTTCATATATCTATCAGGTATTTTCATATAGTATGGGCTTATTATACCATTCTCATTAAATCAATGGGAATTCCAGGCTCCTAAAATGGAGGTACTGTACCATATAAGGCCATATTTTGCTGGGATATATCCCCTGACATAGGCCTTACATAGGTCTTATATATGGTAGGTACCTCCAATCTAGGTTCCTAAAATGGCCATTCTCATTAAAATACCCTGATTTCAGGTCAGTAAATGCTGAAAATTCGACCCTTCTCCCGGTGACGTCGGCCATCTGCCGCCATCCATCGCCATCGCCCGCAGCTAGCGACTTGGAGCAGTTCGAGTCCCTCTTCAACGCCGCCGACCTCTGTGCGCTGCGGCGCCGGGTGCTGCAGGATGTGCGAATTCAGCTGATGCCGTAGCTTGGAAGAACTTGGGGGAATCCGGGGCCGAGAAGAAGTGGACATGACTTGTTACCCTCTGGTTATGTCAAAATAGCTATTGAAAATGGCCATAGAAATAGTGGATTTTCCCATTAAAAATGGTGATTTTCCATATAGTTATGTAAACGTTTACCAGAGGGTAATGGTTTATTCATGGGTTAGTACATCCAATATAAATCTATAAAAATGGGGCCATTCATGGGAATAATCGGCTATAATGGAATATGTTTGTTCCTAAATGTTGCGAACAATAGGTGTTCAAGCGCCAATTAATAGGGATACTGTGGGGGGTTCACCAGCAAAATATGGGATTCATGGATGATCATGTGGTAAACCCAACCAGAAACCTACTTTTTGGGCATGGCTTAGACGTTTTTTACACATTTATGGTCATACTGGTAACTTCTATCTACTTGACCAAATGACAATTGGATATAATTGGGTTTTCCCAACCCCACTTCCAGCTTTTAATCTTTTTTTTGCGACCCTTAGCCGAACTCCAAAGGCCTCGCGGAACTCACGTCGTCGCCGCTAGGTATTTGCAACGCCAGCTGGCAAGTGGCGGGGTCTTTTCGAGGTATTCCTCACAGTTCATCGGCCAGTGACTTGGCTACGGCGCCACAGTGCTTCAATGATGAGGAGTTCACTATGATTTAAACTAAGGAAAACGTGTTGATAATGATTTAAATGGGGAAATTGAGCATTTAATTGGTGAACATGGGGATATTATCTGATATATTTATAACCAAACATATGACATTTGGGTGAGTCCGAAAATGGGGCACACACACCCAAAATGGCTTTGTATCATAGCATATCATAGCAAACATGATGATTGACATTGATTCATTAATCATTAATTTTGAGGGTACTCTATGTGTTTTTCAGACAGGCCCAAATTGGCCATCGAAGCAAAGCCACGTTTGTCTCAGCCATGCCAGCCAGTTTGAGTTATTTCAGCAGTTACATATAAGTCAGAAAAAAAAGGCAAACATGCGTTTGGAAGATGAATCCACTGTTGGATTTGCGTGTGTTCCTCTGCCAAATCGAATCAGTGGATACATGATATCCGAAAGGAGTCATATCCCACATACCTTCCAGTAAACTAAGATAGCTATGGAAAATCATCATATTTAATATAGGTAAATCAACTATAAAGTGCCATTTTCTATAGCTCTATTATAGTTACCAGAGGACATTTCCAATGGTGAGGTTAGTGAAGGACATGGATCTGCGCCTCTTCGAGCCGGGACAAGTGACTCTTGGCACATCGGGTTGGTGATTGTGGCGGAGATTGCGACACTTCACTGGTAAGCCAACTTACCCCACAGCTAAGGTACCATGGGTTTCAAGATTTTGATATGATAATATGATATAATACATGTCAAAAAACATATATTATAATGTATAATCATGATCTGGCGATGGAGGGAGAGAGAGAGAGAGAGAGATAATGATTATAGAGCAAATTGGCAGTTGATGGGTTTCGGTTGTAATTTGAGATGCCTTTCAGAAGTACATATAGAGATTTTTGCTTTTTATACCCATTCAATTCGGGTATCAGGGCCGAGAATTGGCCACAAAAGCAGTTTCCAGTGGGGTTATGGACTTTGCGTGTCTCAAATTTGAGACAAGCCACTGGAAACAGAAAAAACATCGTGTATCTTGAGACACTTGAGCTATTGAAAATACATTGGTTGATGGGTTATTACAGGGTAATGGGGAGTATGATGACCCATAGTGGTGCTCGCTTTCAGACAGGTCCACGAAATTGTGCAGGTCGCTCGCATTGCCGCAGCTTAGGATCTTCAAGGAGAAATCCTTGGGTCGCAGCATCGGCATCTTAGTGTCTGGCTGTGTGGACATCATCGCCAATGGACGCAAGGCCGTTGGATCGAAACGAATTTCTGGGAGACTGGTAGAGGATGAGGTGCCAAAATGACAGTCTGCTGACCGTATGATGTTGGAAGCAATAAGTAAACAGTGCCACAGTAATTATTTGTGGGATGTTTTGGAAAGGATGCTGGGAGATCTAGATTCGAAATGTTTGTTTCTGCAGGGGTGGGCTGGATTGCTCAAGTTTTTTGATGCATTTTCTGGTTCAGGAGTTGCACCGGTAAAGCTTAGACGTTGTTAAGCAGGTGAATCCTGTTGGTTGCTCCTGAGCCTACCTAAATCCTATCATAGAAGCAGCTCCCACGTGTAGGTCAGATGTTTGACCCTAGCTGGAGAATTTTTGGGGATTGATTGAACAGGGAAATTCCACTGGAGTTTCTGACCTGGCATCGACTACTAAATGGGCACTTGGATGCAACTGGGGCTAGAACCGTGCAGATTTTCCCTGACACTGTAACCAAAACCCCGACATCACGAGGTCGTGTCCAAGTCCAATACTTATACATCAACTTTCATGAACTTATACCCAACATAAACCTATATAGTTGGCCTGGATACAAACCAATTTACCTACTAAATCAAGTAAAACTCCCAATTAAATCTGACATTTCCATGATTGTCCATCATTGTTGCTTGTTAAATCTTAATTTTCCTCTTGATATGGGACCAATGGACCCCGTGTCCAGCTCCAAAATTTTCATTTGACAACTGATCCCAACGAAAACCTTTTTTTTTTCAGGCCATAATTTTTGTTTGTTGGACTGGATCCCAAATTTCCATAAGTTTACAATTTTTACTCACAAATCAATTTTCATCAACGATCATCAACTGTAGGAGAACTGTACCCACCATAAACCTACGAAGAATCAACAATCCAAGTTATAAATCTCGATTTTCCAGCATTGTGCATCATCTTTTGCGTAAGTTGAATCCCTATCAAAAGCCCTGTTTGCAGAGGACCCCAGTTGCGTTGTGAATTCAGGTCATGTCCAAGTCGGACAGCGGCCAAGAGATCGGCGAGGCGGCCTTGTTCGAGAGCGCCTACCGCCGCCATGCCACCACCCGATGTTCGCAGAGCTGCGAGACGCTGATGTGCCATGGCATTTGTGGAGTTAGGGAAACATTATGTATATTTTTTTAATATATTTTATAAATATATCAAATATATATATAATATTATATATATTAATATATTATAATATATTATAATATAGTAGATTTTAGATCCCTCCCAATGATGGGGACCATGGGGAGGCCCTTATAGTGGTTCGCTGAAATGTTTGGGATGCTTTTAAGATTGACTTTGTTCCACCATTTTTGGGTTAAAGTTAAAGTCATGTTGGGTTTAGGACCTTGAACCATGAACCTTCTGAAACGTCACTGCTCCTGGCCCTAAAAACAGATGGAAACGTGTTCCTAGGATTTTAGAGATGAAATTGACCTGACAGTTTCCAGATTTCAAATTGAACTAGTTCAATTTGTAATTTGAGAATTGCCATAGATGCTTCCTTCAAAAAGATTAACCCATTCATCACACTTGAGACCCATGAATAGCCTCAGGTTTTTGGCCAGCCGCGATGCCTTCTACGCCTGCTTAGCCAAGTTTCCAGAAGAGTTTCTTCGCCAAAGTGGCGCTAGAGTGGAGGTTGAAGCACGATGATCCCCGAAGTTGCTGTCATACAAATCTGTATACATCTGAAGATGCAGCTGCAGCAGCACTAAGTTTAACACTAGCTAAGCCACATCAATATGTTTCCTCTTTTTCATGTTATCACATGTGTATATACATATATTAGTTATATTTAGTTATATCATGTTATATCTATATAGTTATATCTAGTTATATACTTGGTCCATCCCTGTATAGTGTCAGGAGGGAGCAGCGCAACATGATGATCATGATGAACTCAGGAAGATCAAGCTCTCGGTGCAGGTGCGGCACCGCATCTCCATGACGGTTGCTCGGTGCCAATCCAGTGTCACAACTTGGGGTTTGTATGGTGGTTTTATGGAGGATCTATGGTAGAAATTATGGAAGATAGTTCGCTGATAATGGTGGGTTTATGGTAGATATATCGAAGTACTCAAAGAAGATCTATAAACACACTTATAACTTGGGTTGACTTGGATTGAGATAACTATAGTTTGATGTATGGATTGACTATTCAACAGTAGTGATCATTAACTATATGAGTTTATGGTAGGTATATCGAATACCACCTTGCAGGTTGTTCGCCAGACATTGTTTGGTGGTTGACATGGTTTGGAAGTGATGCACATTTGGGTTTTTGACCGTTTTAATATGTTTTAAATATGTTCAACCCCCCTTGGAACTGAGATGTAGTGGGATGGTGCTGCCCTGACGACGACTCAGTCGGATGATACCGGCCTAGAGTGAGGTCATGATAAGATTCCAAAATTGGATTGCCCCGATGCCAAGCGAGGTTATGACATAGCCCCATCCACCTTTATTCCTTCGGATCATGTACTCCCTTTGTTTCATTGGTCAACCCCTGTTTCCCAGCAATTAGGCCATAAACCAAGACGATTCCAAGGCGCTCGCTTCATAAAGCAGCCACAGGAATTCCACGATCATCCGGACACCAGCTCATGAAAACATGTTTTCCAACCTAACTGGATTCGGCGGGGACCTATCTCAGCCAAGCTTAGGTCATGAAATACATTGTGAGAGATATTGCACCTCATATGTAGTATATAAAGTTCTCTGCTGTTTCAAAATCATGTCAACCCCTGTGTTTAATCCAAGCGAGCTTCGGCAAAAGACTTGCTCAACTGTTGGGCTGATTCGCTGGTTACAAAGCAAGAAATACGTCACTGGGGTCTTCGGTCTTCACCTTCTAGGTACGGTATTTGTTTGTTGGTTTCAGATGGTTAAAACCCTTAACTTCCCCAGCAACAACATCCCCATGGCCAAGGTCATGATTAGTAAATATTAGACAATCTTATTAAATATCCTCTCAACATCCATTAGCTTTCAGTTTTACACAACTTCTGCATGTTGTAAATTCCTAGCCGTAAGGCAAACCCTTGGAAACCTGCGGGAAACAAACAGTAAAAGCATCAGTAATAAGCAGTATCATCATTCCCCATCAAGGCCATCAAAAAATCATAGTAAATCCTCAGGTTCTGAAGGAGCCCTTCCACATGTGCGACCCCGCCTTCCTACACCTGGTCTGCACGGAGTGCGAAGTCGTTCACCTCACCTGGCCCAAGACGGCCACGAGTCCGGAGCAGGACGAGGTGGGGACGGTTGAGGGATCGCACTTACCCTCTGGTAATTTAACAGTTTGCTATTGAAAATGGCCATAGAAATAGTGGATTTTCCATGGGTTTATAGTGATTTAATGGGATTTATAGTGGTTTAATGGATTTTCCCATGAACAATGCTGATTTTCCATAGTTTTTTGTATGTTTACCAGAGGGTACCATCCCCAGGCATTGGTTTTCCAAGTTCACCAAACTTCAAAAAAGTGGGTTTACCCTCTGGCAATCAAACACGGCGAAGGAAAACCCACTATTTTTGATTATTTTCCCATGAACAAAATCCATTTGCTATGGGTAATCCATTGCTATGGGAATGTCCGATTAATTTCCCATGAGCAATCATTTCCCCCACTATTTTTGCAGGGGATTTCCATTGCTATGTTTGATTGCCGGAGTGTATTTCCGATGAATTTCCCGTAAATAGCCCATGAAAAATCGCTACCCCGTCTACCCTGTGCGTCCAAGACATCTGGATCCCAGGGACCTAGGGAAGGATGCTGCAGCAGGGGTGAGGAAGATGTGCACAGCCGACATGTCATTCTACTCATTAGTTGCACAAATTCTTGAAGATAAACAATTGAGAATTAATATATGTTGATGCACAATTTATGCACAATTTCAGACCTGGCCGTGGACAAACCGTGCACAAACCGTGGAAAGACCTATCTAGAGCGTGGACAGGGGTACTGGAGTGTTCAACTAATTTCATGTTGTTGTGCTACAGCAGGATTTTGGATCCACCCTATATACATGGGCAACAATTTGGGTTTCAATCTGGATACTCTTGATGGCACAAGAATTCAGACAAATACAGTTTTAAGGCCAGAATCCTTGGCCCTTATTTAGGTCTTTTGTTGCTTTAATAGGTCTTTATGTAAAGTCCTATTCCGGACAGGACTTTTTGGACTGTTAGGAACTATCAAATCCCATTGATATATGCCATTAAATCATTGTAAAATCCAATGAAATCCCCAATGAGAACCTTAGAAAAGTCACTGTAAGGTCTTTGTCTTCCAGGTGATGCACCTCTGCTACACCGGGGATTTGGTCGTGGAGGAGGAGAACTCTGAGGTGCGGCGGGAGCTTGAACCCACTGACGAACCTGGTCAGTCACCATGGGCCTAACAATGCGCCCGAAGGTGCCTTCGCGTTTCGCCAAGAAATGGGAGATTTTCGGGTCTCTCGGACGCTTTTCCATGGCCTCAATTGGAAGCCATGGATATCATATAATATCATATAGCTAGATCTTGATGTAACTCCCACCATCCCACCATCATATAGCCAATGATATCATATAATATCATATAGCTAGATCTTGATGTAACTCCCACCATCCCACCATCATATAGCCAATGATATCATATAATATCATATAGCTAGATCTTGATGTAAGTCATCTACAATAAGATTATAGCCCAATGATAGTGAAGCTCCTCCCACCATCCCACCATCATTGGCAACTGCGGACCTCAACGGTCCCAGGTTACGGGCTGCCCTGGGGCTCCGCACCGGGCCGCCGGAGTACAAACTGATGGCCGGCCGCCAGGGCTGTACGTTGGTCAAGGTCACCTGGGAAGCCGTGCAGCAGGCGCCGTAGGGTTTTTGTTGGGAGGGATGGATACCCTCTGGTAAACTAACATAACTATGGAAAATCACCATTTTCAATGGGAAAATCCACTATTTCTATGGCCATTTTCAATAGCTATGTTAAATTACCAGAGGGTAATGGATGGAACATGGTGTTTTTTTCCAGGGAAACTGGATGGAAAATGCTAAAAAAGTGGGGTATCGATGATGGTTTGATGATGGTTTTTGATGAACAAAACATGCTGTAAGTTAAGATTTGCTTCGGTTTAGTGATGTTGCATGAGTCCGCTTCCTGCTTGATTGATGAACAGTGCTTGCAATTCTGATACAGGATTTTATACCCCTCTTGCAATCAGAATTTGAAGGAAACATTCGCCACTCAAAGGTGAGTTTGGACATAACAAATCGTAGAGCCGAAAGGTTCTCAGTGTAAATCCTCAGTGTAAAGATATGGGAATGGATCAATACCTATGAAAATACCATTTTTAGGGGGTTATTCACATCCATTTTAACCCAGCTATTTTGATGTGAACAGAAGGGGTACTATTGGTTTTGACAGATCCCTTAAAATGATCCATTTAAGTCCCCATTTTTTTCCTGTGTCCACCATAGTACCGTCATTGTTTGTTGGTTCAAGCTATTTTAAAACTGATTTCAATCCAAGAAGATCAGATGTTTCCCTGAAATCCATGATTGTTGGTTCATTGTTAAATAGATTTTCTCAAGAAGATCCATGGCCATTGCGTTTCCCTGCGCATGGCAGTGGCAGGCCCTGTTGTTCTTCCCAAATCAGTTGCCACGTCTGCTGCGCATGGCTGGATGCACGGAAATGCCGCACAACCATCCCTTCCGCGGAAGAGAGACGTTGGTGTTCCCCGGCGGAGCTTCGTCCGTGGTGCAGACGTCAAAAGTTTCGCGTGAAGGGATGATTTGGGGTTTAAATCTGAAGATAAAAATGCCATACATGGAACCTGGAATTGGTCAGTGTGTGCAGTGCAATAACTTGGACATTGAACATATTGGACTTTCGTGAAATCCTCTGAAAGCTCAATGTCTTGGGGCATTCTTTTAGAGGTTGTCCGCTTGACCGCAATCAGTGAGTCATGATGAGCATGGCAACTTGGCCTACTTTTGCTATGCAAAGGGCTTAGATCATTTTGGAACTTACACGATTCTCTAAGATCTGACACGTTATTATAGAATATTATAGAATATGATCGAATATTATCAATGGATTTGATCCAATATATCGAATTCTCTATATGCTTCAGCCACTTCTTGCCACTTCAGCCGCTCTACGGGCCGCCACCCAGGTGGGACATCATCCAGCCCTTGATGTGTCGGGTCTTCTGTAACCTGGATCCTCGGCTTGGCTGCTTTCGACCTATGGCCGTGATATTTTTTAGGTGGGTAAAACAATCATAAACCATCCCCAAATTTACCATATATATATATAAGTATAAATAGGTGGTTTTTGATGGTATGTTTACCATTCCCAGTCATGGGTGGTAAAAATGGCATTGTTTTACCCACATTAGAGTATCATTAGAGGTGATGTTTGGGTACAGCTGTGGCCATATGTGGCCATAATTTTACATTTGTGGGTCTCCAAGGTAATGAAATGTTCACGGGACAAGTATGGATCCGAATTGAATAAGTTCAATCCACTCAGATCCACATTAATCATCATTAATCATTGATCATCATTAATCATTAATCATCCTTAATCATCATTAATCATCATTAATCCACTACAATCCAAGGAGGTTTTGGACGGAAAGGGGTTCCTTCATCCCCAGGAGATTGATCACGAGTTTTGCCACGCTCCTCGGCGTTTTTTTTCCGCGATGGGCGAAGTGCTGCAGAACATCTCTGACTTTTGCACTTCGTGATTTTTGAGTGACTTTTACTATATCTTTTACTCTCATTCTCTAGTCTTTTGGGAGTTTTGACTTTGTAATTTTGCACCACATGAGGATTTTGGGCTGCAATGATCATGAAATGCCATGAAATGCCATGATGCCAGCTTCGCTTCGCCATTTCTGCCGGGGATACGACGAGGTGTTGGCACCACACTTCAAAGCCTCCGTCTACGACGCAGGGTGTTGCCATGGCTTGGAAGGGTGGCAGGGTGGAAGGAGATCCTTCAGGATCCTTGCAGTATTTCTAATTGATCTAATTGGATCTTGGGGTTACTTACCTCCAATTACATCTCCATACATTTCTGGTTGGTTGTTTCCAACAACTTCTTATGTTCAATCAGTGCAATGTTCTTCTTGAGTCAATCATTATGTCAGGAAGCACTCCACGCAGAAGTGTATCTAGAACATTCTAGAACCAGCTAATCTTGGAGCCAATCCCCTCACTTGTAGGTGAAGCTTAGTTTAGTCAGTATCTTTTTTTTCCTTCAGGTCTTTGATTTCAAAAATCCTGGTCTTGAAGGCTACAATGTGAGGCCCCCAAGATGGCTAAGTTGGTTTATAACTCCAATAACTATGGTTTATGGTACTTATAACATCTTATAACTATATAGTTACTGGGGCGAATCTAAACCAACTTAGCCATCTTGGGGGCCTCACATTGTAGGGAAGTCCATCTCTCCCAAGCGTCGCCCTTGGTGTCACCGTGTCACCAGCCCGGCGCTTTCAGGTTTAATTACCCCAGAGGCGGGTCCTTCGAGATCCCTGCTGCTGTTGGTCTCTGGCTGCTCGGCAGTTTTTTTGAGATCCACAAGTGACAGTTAACTATGATGGTAGATATGGATTAACTATGGGTTATATGGTAATATATGGATATGTATGGATTAGCTATGATGTAATATATAGATATATATATATACTGGTTGGTGGTTTGGAACATGAATTTTACTTTTCCAGATATTGGGAATGTCATCATCCCAACTGACGAACTCATATTTTTCAGAGGGGTAGGTATACCACCAACCAGGATCATTCAACACTTGGAAACTCTCAGCTGTGACAGTTGTGGTTTTGCAAGATTAACGCTTGGTCAGGTTTTCGGCAATCCATTCACCAATCAGTATGCATGGTTCCGAGACAACATGCGCTACGCCTCTCAGACTCTGGGGCGCATGTCCGCGACTTCGGTGTGATGGTCCATGGTTAGGGCCTTCCTGATGATTTGGCTCGCAACATGCCCAAGAAAGTTCCAGCTTCTCCTTTCGGTGGTGCAGTGGGGAATGCAGTCTGGCTCTGCGTAATTGAAAGGATGTTATGCAGACTTCTTCCAAGACCTAATTTGGTGAAGGGCCGGCTGCCCGATTTCTGGCACGACATACAGCCTTTGCCGCCAACTCGAGCTTGGAAGTACATTGAAAAAGAGACGCAACAAGGCGCCTAAAGTTTTTGCAGACGTGGCGTGTATTGGATCGTATTCTCTGGCACCTGCAGTGCGGGCCTTCCGCAGCAACGAAGGGGGAGTAAAAAAAAACAGTAAAAAGTATGCATGGTTCCTTTAGTTTTATCTACTCAGGGGCCTTACCAGAAATATCATCAGCATTTCAGGGTGCCCTCCCTGCCCGGTCTCCCTGCCCGGTCCCAAAGTCGCCTTAGAGATGCCATGAGATGGTCCGGGAAGACTTGGGGGGAAAGCGAAAAACCAGACGCATCTCAGATGAATGTTTCTGTGTTTAATGGGAAATCTATGGAAATCTAGTACTTATAGGGAACCATCTGAATCTACGGTGAATATTTGTTGCTTCCGAAGTCGTAAATCCAAGTAGTTATAGGAGCCCCATATCCCAACTTATGGGGGGTTAGCATCGCAGAATTCTTTTTATTAAGCACTCATAAGAACACTCTTGTTAAGCTTAATGACCCCAGAATTACTGAATTTATCTTAATTTATTAAAAGGCTTGGGGGTTAGGTTGGAATCTCCGAAATACTAATGTTATCACTATCAAAATCAAACAACCAATATTCACCCATCTTCACCCACTATGAAGCCACATTAAAAGTACCTCAGTCCTGCACTAAAACCAGGCGGTTCATCAGACTTTCACCAACTAAGTCGTTGTGGCACCTCCCAGCACTTGCCCCTGAGGCGAGATCTGCTGGTCGCGCCAGGGAATCGTGTCGTACGTAGCCACGGCGCCGGACTACTTCGATGAAGCGTGTCTCTTCTCAGAGCCTTGGTGGCGGTGCATGCGGAGTGGCTGGGATATCTCCAAGTTGCCAAGTTTCATGTCACATATGGCCATTGTATAATAAGATTCGGATGGTTGTATATGATGTGATGTAGTAAGGTATATCTTTATGATGATATGTTTGGCGACCATTAGCCATCTACAGCTATGATGATATGAATTGATATGATAATGTTTGAGGAACATTGACCTTCATTGACCTTTTTCTTTGAGGGGTTCGCTGCCAAGAATTGTAGGTTTGTGGTAATACGAAAACCAGGCATTGTCAAAAACAATCATCACCGCGTTTCTGGGCACATTCTTGTGATTTTGGGTTAGTGGTTTAGTTGTAGTTACCTCTCATTCCAACATAGCAGGATATGCTTTATGAATAAGTATGAAGGATATCTAAGAAGTGATGTGCTTTCAGGCTTTCATGTCACATGCCTCCCACATCAACAGGAACGTGGTCACTGTGCCAACATCACGGCCAAATCCACTGCGGTCATTTGGCGCCTGCACGTCAACGCGCTGCATCTTCCAGTGCCTTGCTCGAAGTCGGAGTGGGACGGTGAGGTAAATCAATGTAAATCATCGTAAATGGGCTATAGCTTCAAAAAAGCTGTTAAATTACCAGATGGTATATCCCATTCACATCCCATTGAATCACTATAAAATCCCATATAAATTACCAGATGGTTTTGCTATTGGGTGATCCATTCAGGATAAGTTGTTTATTACTATAGTTGTTGCTGGTCAATGAACTAGTTGTCATTGTGGTTGTCATCCCCTTGTTGATCCTGAGAAGATGACATGTTGTGACTGGCTTCACCGTAAAACATGGCAATCTTTGGACATAAACCTGCCTCAAGAGGTGTTGAAGATCGCCAGAAATCACACCATGTTGGTTATAGTTATATGCCAAATCCCAATTTTCATGGATAAATCTCTAGGAAACCAACCATTTTCCAGATTTCGGGTGGGTTCCCTGTATCTTTTCCTCTGGATTTCCCATGGATTTCCCATGGCCTCCCAAGGCCGACTCGCCCTACGCGGGGAGGGCGCGGCGCCTGCTGATGGAAGTGGAAGAATTGACGGAGGAGCGCGTTGCCGCGCCGCAGTTGCTGAGTCGATGATTGATGATCTGGTTGGTAGTTTGCAACATGAATTTGATTTTCCCCAATACTTGGGATGACGATCCAATCTGACTTTCATATTTTTCAGGGGGGGTTGAAACCACCGATTAGGGATATTATTGACATTTATTGACTATATTTATAATCATCATATAATTAGCAATCTTGTATAGTGATATAACCGTATGATATAGCAATCAATCCCTTGCTAATATCGTATAATTAATCATATAATATAATGATTGATTGGCTATTTTGTAATAGGATTGATCAAGGGAATTACAAATCATATTGATTGGCTGATGAATAGATTAGCTAATTAGCTAATGATCAAGGGATTTTTGTGTAATTCAGCTGATTTATGAAATAGATCATGTCACCAATCATCATTATGACTAGTGGTTAGTCCATTTAGATGTGGAATGATTTGGGAAAACATGTTCTTGGGGATTATTAGAAGCCATGTACGGGAAACCTATCAACCTAAGAGATGGATGATGTGTTTTTTTTTAAGCAAAACCAAGCATGGAAGTGGGAGAGTTTTTCTTGGATTTTTGTCACTTGCTTTTTAATGGGAGCCAGGTTCCCAACCACATTGATAGTTTAGTGGATGATGGAACATGTGCTTTTTGTTGAAGATATTTTTTGTTAGCGGATGATTAGCTGGAATATAGAGGCCACAGATTTATTTGATAATCGTATATCTAGTGGAACCGTGGAATGAAAACGGGGAAAAAACGTCACACACACAATATATATATATATAAATAAATATGATATAGTATGGTCAGTGAATAAATGAAGTAACTATATAGAAGGAGAAAGTAACAAACTACTTCAGTAAACCCACCTCAGTTTATACAGAGAATGAAAGAGACACTCTAAACATCTCTAAACTATAAAGGTCAAAATCTTTCAGCTGGGGTTTGGGCCCCTAGTGCTAACCATGCCATGCGGCAAGAATTTCTTTGCCACATATGTCCCCTTGATTTTTGCACAGGCCCACAGGGGGCCCGCTATTCTTGGTATTTTATGGTTGCCACTATTCCAGATTGTCAGATGGCAAAGGCCCTATACCAATCCCCCCATTGCTTGTCATGTGCCTACGTGTTTCTATTTCGTCCAATTCTTATACCCCAACATTTCACATGGAGCCCAACAACACTTGGGAGTGTATTCCTGAAAAGGTGGGCCCCTCCCAGTGATGTTTCTTGGTTTATAAACCCCATTAATTATAGTTAAAAGTTATATCCCCCTAATCAACCCTAGTTAACCAAGTTAGAAGTCAACTTAGCTATTGTAAATGGCCCCCCCCACCTTGTATTATAAGTTTCCAATATGTGTCATTGTTCAATGAACCTGCAGGAAAGCCCAATACTTGGTGATAAAAATGATGGCTGCCTGTAGTTTGTCCCTTTATGGTCATTTACTAGTTAGAACTGGCCATAAATGGGATCATACATTCCATAAATGGGGTTATAAGTACTTCTAAGGGCCATAACTGTAGTTATAAACCACTAACTATCCCAATTGGAATCGATTAGCTAGTAAACGGAGTATACCTATAATTTAAGTATAATTCCTTATGATTGATTAAGGGCCGTAACTGTAACCAAAAAATGACATGTTGATGTGATGTCGTTTCCAGCCAGGACATTCACGGCAAGTTGCGCTCGAACATGCGAAACATGAAGACCTGGCGGAGGCGTAGACGATTCGCTGATGCCGAGGGAATTTTCCCACCAAAAATCCGATTTTCCAGGGGAATCTGCCAGAATAAGCCTTGAAGAGATGCTGAAAAGGTTGAATTTGCCACTGATTTAGTAGGATGTGAACCAAAGGGGGTTGCTATGACCATTATTTGCAGCCATTTCCGTTGATGCCCCTAAACAGGGCTGAATTGGGGATGGTCTTGGTGATCGACGGTCTCGTGAGGGGTCACTATCAGCACAAAATGCTGAAGCTCAAAATATTGGTGGTGACTAATGATGTGGCTAAAACGACTAAAACATTTCCGATATCTATATATGATGTTGTATAGACTAATGATGACTAATGTTGTTGTATAGATGATGTACGATGTAGATGATATATGATGAACTTGGTGGAAATCAGCGGCTTGTGGGATGAGATATTTTTCGGAGAGATCCACCAGTTGACGAGCGTATGCTCATTTCTGGACCACTGGATGCATCTCCAGTATGGAAACAATGTCCATCATGTCCCTTTTTGCGGATATGGGCTATAGTAGGCTAAAACATGATAACATGGTCAGTGCTTCATATCAGCATGTTATACTGTATCACTGCGTCCATGGGAGGTCAATGACCCCAACCATTTCCTGAGGTAGATAACGTTTTATTACGGATATTGAGTGAACCCAGTTGAAATGCTTGAAATGTAAATCCCACATAAGCCTGAAATATCTTCGGTTTCGACCCTCGTCGTGCTGTGTGATTGCTGCAGGTTCAACTCAGAAGTGCTAGGTTTGCTCGGTGACAACATCTTCCTGCGAACCTATTTGCCTGGGCAGTGCATCTTCAGCGATGGCGACGCGGGGGAGTTTATCTACATCTTGATGCGTGGACGTGTGGAAGTGCAATCTCAAGGTGGGTGCGAGGGTGGAGAGGGGGGTAATGGACAGTTTTCTTGGCAAAAGAAGAGGATATCATGGGAATGTAATGATAGTCTAAGTCTAATCTTAGCAGCTTTACCAGGAGAACATCTTCAAATGAGTGATTTTCATGGAGTGTCGGATTGTTCATTACTCGGTGAGATTGCCGCAGTTTTCGTTTGGGGTGGGGGTGGATGGGGGTTTGAGAGCTACAACCACGACTAGCCGGGGAAATTGGAGAGACTGAAAAACGCATGAAAAGAAGGATTTTCTAGCTTCTCCGTTACCACCTGTGTCTAAACTTCAATTCTTCCTTTGAACCCCTTGTTGAAGTTGGCTTTGTCGGCCATATCCGATTTCTGAAATCGCTGCTCTTATTGCTGATTTCAGCCCTACTCTTTTTGCTTTAAACAAAGTCCCAAAGTCAGTTCAAATCAACCAATCATGTTCCCCAATGTCAACCATTCTAGTCCCTTATCTCCTTCGTGTACTTTTGTGCCTCTTGTTACGCGTTATTCATCCCCTTACTAGGTAGCTACCAGGAAGCCTAGCATTCCAAACCACCAAAACCACCAGTGAATCATTGAAACTTAGTACCTCCTATCATTGTACAATCATTTATACATCATTCACACACACACACACATATATATATATTTAAAAAAAACACAATTTCTGAACATCCCCTGTTATTTCTGGGTTGCATTTAGTTCCTCCCCATGTTCCGCCCATCAGGCAAGAGCAGCTTCTTGGAGGAAGGCATCACCTTTGGCGAGATGGTCCTCTTTGGCGGCCCGGTGCACGTTTCGAGCTGGGAAAATCATCGGAAAAATCTGTGAAAAAAACATGTCTCAATGGATTGGTTTAAGGGAACATTTACTGGTTTAAGCCCCATATTTAATGGGAAAATCTATGGTTTCCGGGTTAGATTTTTCCTCAAACCAATCCATTGAACTTCAAATGGTGTTTTTTTTTTTAATGGGAATATCATCCAAAACTGAAGGTGTGAAGATTGGAATATCGATTGTAAATGGGGGTGTTATTGGGACATGCATTCAATGAAAATTCCATTGCATTCCATTGCTAGATGATGTTCCCAGCTATGAACCTCCAGCAAACCAAACCTCCATGGCTAGTTCTGGGTGTTCCCAGCGGCACACCATGGATGTGTACCGGTGGGGAAGTGGTGCGCAAACCCTGGCTTAAATACAACATAATATAACATGACCATAACTATTAATTATTAATTGGGGGTGCCTCCGAGATGCAACCTCCATTAACAAAGCGGGGGGTTATTTGACTTATATACCACTAGTCTGTCTATCTGATTTATAAGATGATTTGGCTCCCACTTACGACAGGGTTGCATATCCAAGTATGGATCAAGATGATACCAAAAATGACAGACCTTAGCTTAGCGGGAATACACTGGGCCTTAAGTTCAGACCCAGGCCCCATGATCAGAAATCAAGCTAGACCAGCTATATCCATCCACAGCAGCTTTTTGCCAAATGATCTGATTGTTTTTGCCAAATTGGTCCGTTGGTCCAAAATGGTCCAAATAAAACAGCCTCAAGTCGGGCAAATAGCATCCCACAAGATCAACAAAAATGTCTGTTCTAGTGACATGACAGGTGCTGGAGCGCTTCCAGCGTGAACCGATCCTAATCGTGTTGGTAAACCCCTTCAACTACAGTAACTACAGTTATTTCCCACGTATACCCTAAGTAACCACTACATCCATTAACTATAGTTCTCCAAAAAAAACATCCAAAATCCCAAACCCTCGTTTTCCCTAATCATTGACTATATAGTTATCACCCCCAAACCTTAGTTTTCCTTGTAAATCATGATTTACACTCAGATGTTCCTTCCCAAATGTGCGTTCACGGGAACACGATCTGCATCCGAGGTCAAGCGCATCGTAGCGCCACCATCACGGCCTGCTGTTTGTCACTTGGAGGAATTGAAGGTCACGGTGAAAACTGGAAACGGATTGATTTTTGATGTTTGTTTTTAGGGGGGTGGGGGGGAGTAGAGTTTCGGAAATTTGGAAGGAGCAGCATTTGTTTGGTTTAGAAACCAGAAGTTGTTTCCTGCAATTTGTTTTTTGAGAATGCTGGTGCTGAAAATCATGGCCCTGCACACCAGCCAAATATGAGGGATCTCCTGCACATGTTCCAATTATCCAATTCCGCATGGGAAATTCCGGGGGTCCAAGCATTCTTGCGGTGCTTTCTTTGGCATAATGATGCATAATGGATCCCGTCTCTTGATACTTAGCGGATCATCCAGGACAGTACATTCCAAGCCACAATACCCACTATGGGTCCATGAATTTTCCTTTTTTTCAATCGTCCCAAACATGATTTGTTCTATGTGAAGCCCATAGGGGATTTTCCATGATGGTCCATGAATTTTCCATATCGAGTCCTGCCAACCAATCTATATTGTCCCGAGAACTATTTTATGCATGTTTATTAGTGGTCCATCCAACATTAATAGATGATGATTAGATTGTTATATAACTACAGTTTTACCATTAATAGCGGTACCACTATAATTACCATCAGGTTATTTAACATAGCCATGGAAAATCACCATGTTTAATAGGTAAACCATCTATTTCTATGGGCCATGGCTTCCATGGCGAACTGTTAAATAACCAGAGTGTATTTATCCATGAAAATTTCGCCATTTTTTTCCTGGACAGAAATCCTGAATCCACCAGGTGCATCATCAATGCAGTGCACAAGGACCTGGTGAGTCACGCCTTGCGGATGCAGCCACGCAAGGTGCTCGTTGTGCTGACATGCTGTGAAGCATCATGACTTTGATATGGTTTCAAACATGGTTCATTCAAAGGTTAACAGAACATGTGGGGATTTTTTCATTTGTTTTTGCAGATTGCTTGTGGGATTTACAGGTGTTTCTTCTGTGTTTTTGCCCAATCATTTCAGAGCTTAGAACCGCCATGGTCAGACCTCGATAAATGGAATCGCCATCAACGTGTTCTCGCAACATTGTCTCAATCCAGACAACTTTAAGTTTACCAGCGCCAAACCAACTTGTTCCACCTCAAAACCATAGTTAAAACTAGTTGCCGTCCGGTAAACTAACATAACTATGGAGAATCACATTTTTTAATGGGTAAATCAACTATTTCTACGGCCATGTTCAATAGCTATGAGCAACTTAGTGAGCCAAATTGGCCACCACCCTGTGAAACCCACCAACTGGGGGCCCACAGTTCCAGTCCACCAAGTGGGTTGTAGTTCAGCATAGTGGCAGGGGCCCCATGTCTCAACTTATGGATAACTATGGTGATTAATAACATCCATAGTATTTCCATAGTATTATATTATGCCATTTTATAACTAATGTTAACTAACTATAGTTAGTATCAATACCATCCATAGCTTATCCATAGTTAGTCATCCTTAGTATTTCCCATCGTATATTTATAACAACTATCAGTAACACTAACAATGGGTATTTCAATAAAGCTACCACTTTTTGCCCATACTATGGGTTATCATAATCCCCAGGAACCGTGGTAGTATGACTCTCAAGAATTAGCCAATGAACCATGATATTTTGTTCATGGCTCTATAGGTTGTTGAACGGGTTGTTCACCAGCAATGGTGGTGATACTAATGTCAAGTTGCAACATGTCGTTTTTTTTTTTTGGTTTATATAACTATATATAGTTGTAGTTGTTTTACCATGAATAGTGGTACCACTGTTACCCATGGTCATTTACAGTTCATAAAGTATATTAATTGTGGTAAAACAATGCCACGAACCACCACCAATTTCACCAGTCATGGGTGGATTATTATTGGATTGCCACCCATAATTACCATTCTTCAAGGTGGTACTTATTACCATGATTATTACCACACATGTTAAAACCTATTACCATAATCAATCTTTTTATTAAGGTTTTAACTAAAAACCATAGTTATGGCAAATTACCATAGTTATTATCACAATTACCATAGTTACTATAGAAATTCCTCATACTCATTACAGCAATTCACCATGTAGTTATTATAGGTAGCTATACTCTGGGTTTGTTTAATGTGATTGTTTATTTTTCCAATGGAAAATCCACCATTGTTAATTGTGTAATCACTATGGGTACTATTAAGAATAATTATACCATAGTTATTCCCATAGTTTTAATAGTACTGTTATATATAGTTAGCAATAGCTATAGTTATTAGCAATCCACAGTTAAATTTCATTGAACACCTTTCAAATTCCAATTAATAGAAATTAATAGTGGTACCACTATAGTTCTTCCCATAGTCAATGGCCAGTCAGGAACCTAAATTGGAGGTACCTACCATATACAAGGCCGAAAAATAAGGCCTATGTAAGGGAATATCCCAGCAAAATATGGCCAGAAATATGGTACTATCGTACCTCCATTTTAGGATCCTGAAATTCCCATTGATAAAATTCATGTTCCAAACCACCAATCAGGATATACAGAGTCCCATTGATATACCACCAAAAATCATGTACGAATGGGAAAAACCTCATTGATAAAAATCCCATAGTTTTTCAATCGTAATAACTATATATATATATGGTAATAGATGTAGCTATTACCAAAGTTAACGGTGGTTAACACCATAGTTTTTACCCTCTGGTAAACTAACATAGCTATGGAAAATCACCATTTGCAATGGGTAAATCCACTATAAATGGCCATTTTCAATAGCTATGTTAAATTACCAGAGGGTACCATTAATAGTCGGTACCACTTCACCGGCGCCGGAGGCCTTCCTGGTGGACAAGCCGCAGCAGCCGCCCTCCGGCCGCGTCAAGGGCACCGAGGACAAGGCGCTGCGCCCGGCGCGGCCCCGCGAGAAGATGAACCAATACGCGGCACCGCGGCGGCGAAAAATCCCATGGGACAATGATGGATTTCCCTGGGAAAATCTGGGATTTTTATATCTGGTTGGTGGTTTGGAATATGAATTGTATGACTTTCCATATATTGGGAATGATCATCCCAACTGACTTTCATATTTTTCAGAGGCGTTAGAACCACAAACTAGTTTTTTTTTTTTTAATGGGATGTTATGGGATTAATGAACATGTGCCCCAAGAATCAGCCAGTCATGTAGGTAAATATGGCAGCACCATGGAGCATTGGGGATATGTTGTATTTACGTAGCCATACTTGGATGTGCATTCCATAAAGTGGAGTGGTTTCTCATCCAAATATCACCCAATATAAGCCGGTATAACCCATTTGCTAGGTGGGATATGTTTTATCAAAAGTTCTATATAATAATCACCATGATATTCCCATTAATATCCCACTAAACATCCCATTAATATCTCATGAAATCACTACACAACACCATTAATATGCCATTAACACACCTCTAAAGTGCCATGAAATCATTATAAATTCCCATAAAATCATCATAAACTCACATCAGATTCCCATGAAGTCACTAGAAGATACCATTACCCCTTGGTAAAGTGACATAACTATGGAAAATCACAATTTTCAAATCAACTATAAGTGGCCATTTTCCGTAGCTATGTTAAGTAACCATTAAAACCCCATTGAATCACTATAAAAACCCTTGTGAAATCACTATAAATCCCATTGAAATTCCATGACTTTCTAGCGTCCGGACGAGGAATGGCAGGCCATCGAAGACGCCCAGCGTCAGCGCAACTTCGTCGCGGTGCCGCGGCGCTTGCAGCAACGCCTGGAGCGGAGCTTCCTGCTGCAGGTCGGGAGATGTCCGATTTCATTGGAATTTATACAATGTGAGGCCCCCCAGTTATAAGTATGTTTATAAGCCCCAGTAACTATAGTTATAAGTACCATAAACCATGGTTATTGGAGTTATAAACCAACTTAGCTATCTTGGTGGCCTCACATTGTAGGGATTTAATGGACATCTATATATAGTGATTTATAGTGATTCATGGGTGATTTCATGGTGGTAATTTAGAGTGTTTTCACGGAGTCTTGATCACCCTCTCGATCTTAACAAAGCTCAAAGGCGCTTTCTGGTCAAAATATTGATTGTTTTACATCAGGTAGGGGATATTAGGGGATGATCATCCCCCTTAATAGCGATTGATACAAGTGTTGGTAGGTGTTCTAAACTAAACATCACCCAACTAAAATGGGAAGATTCTAAGATCATCTCCAACGGAGACTTTTTCAAGTGATGCCTCAAAAATCTTCAAAATCCCCCCTCAAAAAGGGACACTTCTATACCAACCCCTGTGGTTGATCCAAGATAAGGATTCCCATTATGGAACGGATGGCGATCCCAACCAACCCATGGGGTGAGCAGGGGCAAACACCACGGCTGCCGCCTGTAGATTCTCGGCTGCCGACGGATTTGCAGGTGCAGGTGAGACTCCTATGTTGTGGATTTTTGATGGGTAGAATACTATAGGCACTTAACCCCCAGAAGTTGGGATATAACCCCTATGCTGCAATATACCCACAGAAAGTTCACTGGAACTGCACTTCAATGAGGGCACTTTGAACATCCAATTGGGAAGTAGCCGTGAGGATTCCCCATAGTTTCTGATTGAAAGATATCCACCGCGTTTTTTCACAGTCCGCAGCCTCCAAGGAGTCTCGGTTGTACAAGGCGCCAAAGAACCTCGGCACCCATGGCTAGTGAGGCAAGTGCAGCCATTGATGAATGCGATTGTTATCGGATGCGTATTAGAGAATCATGGGATGATAGATGATGATACTTGTAGTGGGATAATCATGGATCATCATGGGAAAACGAGAATCATCACCGTTCCCAATGTGGGTTCACATTGGGTATGCCCCTATATGGGACGTTTTTTTTAACTGACCACCTTTGATGTTTGGGGATTTTGGGATGGTCGGCGGTTTGCCACATTAGCGATATTTTTTGGAGCATGAGGAGATGAGTTGCATTGATTGTGCGATATTAATAGGATATGAATAGGGCATAATTAGTTCCAAACATGTATGTATAATTATGTGTATATATATATATATGTATATATTGGAACTTGAATGATATAGCAATGTAAGCTGATAAGCAAGGTAACAAAATATCACGGGATATTTCATGGGATACACATCCGATCTTAGAGGATACGATGATGAGGGCCAATCAAAAGGCCACTTCCCAAGATTGGCTGGGATGATCCTCCAAGAGGGAAAGCTCCACTGACAGTGGCTGGTAACTCTAGATCCCCTGGTTTCTTTTGACATCCTCATTTTAGTTGTACAAAATATTGGGCTCATTTCCAGACACACAAAACATTGGTTAATCGGGTGGATGTTTCATGTTCCGTCTTCTTTGGCATGATAACCATTGACTAATGTGTGTCATGGGCATTGAATCCGCCAATCACTTACCCTCCAGGAATTTAGCATAACTAGCAACTAGGAAAAACTAGGAAACACGGCCCATATATTGATTGTTTACATTTGTTTACGTATCAAAAGCAGTGATTATATGTGATTTTCCATGTCTATGTCAAAGTACCAGAGGACAACCTTGTTCACCACCTTCCCCGTTTGAGATTCTCAGCCAGCCATTTGGACCACCAGGATTCAGATTGCCTGGAGTTTCCCTGGTGTTTCCTGCCGATCTCGCCTTCTGAACATCTTAAATAACATTTTCACTGAACATCAAATTTGATGATCAGATATTGAAACCCTAGGCTTTGGGTTGTACGTGGTACTAAGTTTAGGAGCACTAATTCATCCGTTCCCCCTAATAATAAACCCCACCACCCCCGCCTCCCCCCCAAATAATAAACACCTTAGGTCCTTAGGTAGTTTTTATTATTAGGGGAGAACCCTAATACTAAATTTAAATCCCTAATATAAAAGAACCGTTTTTCTATTTCAAAATCGATTACTGTAGATTTCCTTTAAACAAATGCCAAAAATTGGATGTCGAAGCTTTCCCCTAATACTGAACTAAAATCCATAATATTTTTTGTTTTTTGTTTAACATATTTGTCTATTTCAAAATCGATTAGATTTCCTTTTGAAATCTAATAAAATATTGCCAAAAATTGTATTTCAAAGCTTTCCCCTGATATTAAATTAAAGACCTTAATATAAAATACATGGTTTCCGACCTCAAAAGACGGACCCTGATTTAAAAAAAAAAAACAGGGTTGACTAGTTTTTATTTTTGGGGGGTGAAGCCCTGAAATGGTAGCTTCATGTTTATTTTTTTTTCTCCAGGGGATCAATTAAAGATCAAATTGGCCAACCTCAAATTGTCCAAAATTGGAGACGGACCCTAGTTTGTATTATTTGGGGATGGTTTAGTAATAGGGGAAGGGATTTTTTATTGATTCCACCACCACAAAACGGGATACAAGTAGAGCAAGATAGACCTGGTTGTGGTTTGAATGCTCCATCCATAAACATGGGATGATGGTCCCAATCCATGAAACCACCAGTCAGTTAAGCGGCAGGGCGCCGACAAAAAAAAAAACAAATCGATGTGTAGCACCCATTTATTATATTTAATGGCGGTTGGTGGTTTCAAAACCTTCTAGCTAGGAGCCAATGTTACGTACCACTCACTGAGACTGGCCGAAAAGATCCAGTCAAGCTGCCACCCCACCGGTTGTTAGTTGGTTTATAAGCCCCATTAACCATAAAGGATATGTAGCATAAAGCCTAGCTATTAGAGTTATAAACCAACTTAGCTAACTATGGGACTATGGGGCACCCCGCCTTGTTTGCAATAAGAGACATATTTAACCACTTTGATTTGGTGTCAAAGTATGTCAAAGTTTCCATCCCTAAGACTTGGACGGATTGTTATCCCAGTTAAGAAGCCATAGACGATGCTCAAACCATTTAGGCCACATGAGCAAGAAACCATATACCCTCTGGTAAACGTTTACATAGCTATTGAAAATGGCCATGTAAAATGTATACTGAATTTGCCCATTAAAAATGATGATTTTCCATAGTTTTTTGTATGTTTACCAGAGGGTACTGAGTTTGAAAGCCTATCAGTATACTTGACCATACTTGACTTTGTTTTGCTTCCTTCAAAAATCATAAACAAACCCAAGATCCTGTGACATTTCAAGGATGATTCGTCGTTAGGGATCCGTAGGGCCAGTGCCATGGTCAAGCTAGTTGGATTGTATACCCAGTCCCTGAGCGATGGAAATAACCAGTCCATGTTCATAGGCATTTATATATATATGATTTATGTGCCCATTGATTCTTGGATGCCCATGAAATGAGATGGCCATCCAGATGGCCATAAGCCAAATTTATATACACATATTAATATACATATGGTGTACCATATCCCCTTAATTGGGATATACAATGTCTTGACCACAGCACGAAAAAAGTGCCAGAAAAAATGACCACAGCGCAGACGAGTATAACATGCTGCCAGGAGAACACAAGGCGAACAGATCACTGGGGTCGCTACCCAAAATGGAAGACATTCCCACGACATGTTATAGGTAACTTGGGTGCCGGAAATGTACAAAGCTATGAGCTATAGATGATGATTTGGATGTGAACAGGCTGGTCGGCATTACTAGGTTATTTGGTGCCTGCGCTGTTTTATATTGAACTGGCATTTCTTTTTGACATAAAGTAACCCATTCCCCCTTACAAAGCCTGGGTGGTTACTGGTTCCTTTCATTTGCAGTCTAATTGGTCAGTGGCTATGTCTGAAAATAAATGAGGTACACCATGATACACCCATTCCAAATGGACAAAACAATTTATTGTCCTAACGGTGTTGATGCTTTCCCCATTTATTGTCCTCACAATGTCAGACAATCAGATAATCCTAAGGCATTTTGGGGTGTAGCACCATTTGTAGACAAACTGAAGTGCAGATGTCAAAATTGGACGACCAGAGATTGGTCAGTCCCACTCCCACTGAAAATTCGACTGCTGCCGATGCTAAAAATCCGCACATGGGTGCCTGAATCGATGAGGGCAAGTGACAGCGACCTCACTGCGACCAAAGCCCAGAAAAGATGGTTCCAGAAAAACACGCTATTTTTGAACGAGCCTTTTGTCCAGTATTGGCTGGTCGTTCAGCCCTGATCAGTTGCCGTTGTTGCAAGACCACCAGTGCTTTCTTAATTACTCAGCGTTGTCAATTTTTATACCAGGTAATTAGATTCGTGTTCGCCGCCGTTTTTGTACAAGGTTACCAAATTTTGGGACAAGCTTGGCCCAAAAAAACGCGTATACATCAGTGAGCATATCCTTCGCTGCATTAATTGACAGAAAATACGGGAAACCGAGCGAAACCATTGGGCATTGACCATTGCTTAACAAACCCGACGCGCCCAGAGAACCAAAGTTCAAAATCTCGGCCGAGGGTGACCGAGATGAATTTGAGAACGGCCTTTGACCATATGATCCCCAGACACGCTTCCTGGCAATGTGCAGGATTTGAGGGACGCATTTGCTTACATCAAGTTGGTCAGAATGTTGGGTTAAAATGCACTCATTTTTTATGGCTGAAAATTATGATCCATACCTGTCATATTTTCAAAGTCAAGGCGAAACCGCTGGTTTCAAAAATCAAAGCCACCATAAGCCACCCTTTCAACCGTTGTCAAGTAATTACTGGGGGCCGTTGTTTGTCCAGAGGGTGGTTCTGTGATCGAAGGTGCAGCACCTGGCTAGGGGTTGTCATTGGGTTTGCTATTTTCAACATATTTGTCATATTTAGAAATGATGTTTGGCAAATCCGTAGGTTTCGGTATCCAACAAGAATGGATGAATGGCATGAACCATACACTTACACTTACTTCTGAATAACATGATGGTAACATAGACCCGGGCAAGCCGGCGGCGGAAGTTTCCCAAACATAAATGACCTATAGTTCAAAGACAACCTGTCCCGACCGTGTCCTTCCCTCGACACTCCACACCTCACACTGCACACTGCACTCTTCGCACTTCAAACTTCAAACTTCACACTCCACACTTCACACTCCACACTTCTCACTGCTTCCTTCACACTTCACACTTCACACTGCACACTTCACACTTCACAGTCCACACTTCACACTTCACACTTCACAGTCCACACTTCACACTTCACACTTCACAGTCCACACTTCTCACTTCGCACTTCACACTCCACATTTCACACTTCTCACTTCTCACTGCTTCCTTCACACTCCAAACTTCACACTTCACACTTCTCACTTCGCACTTCACACTCCACACTTCACACTCCAAACTTCACACTTCACACTTCTCACTTCGCACTTCACACTCCTCACTGCTTCCTTCACACTCCTAACTTCACACTTCTCACTTCGCACTTCACACTCCACACTTCACACTCCACACTTCACACTTCTCACTTCTCACTGCTTCCTTCACACTCCAAACTTCACACTCCAAAACTCACACTTCACACTTCGCACTTCGCACTCCACACTTCACTCACACTTCACACTTCACAGTCCACACTTCACACTTCTCACTGCTTCCTTCACACTCCAAACCTCACACTTCACACTTCACACTTCACACTGCGCTCTTCGCACTCCACACTTAAACTTCACACTCCACACTTCACGCCCCACACGTCCAACTGCTCTAAACTTACGTGCAACAAAAAAAACTAGCGCCAAAATGGAGAAAATCATAGGGCTTTGGGTCTGATGTCTGAAAAAAAAATGGCCCAGAAAGTCATACATCCAACAAACCACAAAACTCCAACCCATGCTGCACAAGGCATTGAGAGGATCTCAGTGAGAGCTTGCATTGACTCGCCCCCATGACAGCTTTGTTTTTTCACATGTATGCAATACGATCATGGTTGTTTGTGCGGTTCGTAACAACGCACACATAAACCAAAAGCAAGTGACAGAGGCATTCTGCGGTTCGCAAGGCTAAATGAAAGGCGAATCTACTGAAGGACAGCAATTCAAACTCGGATGCGGTTCATAACAACGCACACCCAGCCCTCGGCCGTCAAACGAGAGTTGAAACCTCTGCGGCAAGACCTTGTCTGCGCTTCATCTCAGCATCAACAAACTCTGGTTGAAAGGACCGCACAGCTTCCCAGAGATGACGGTATTGTCTGCGGAGAACTTCGTCGTCCGACTCTTTGTCGTCCAACCACGTACTGTTGTTGTGCAAGACGATTTTGAAGCACTTTTTAAAAGGATTTTTAGAAGGAAAATCACTAGCGCCAAAATGGAGAAAATCTGCTGACAAATCAGTGTCGCAGCCTTCATGCAGCCACTCCAATACGATTTACGAAGTCGAGCTGCAAAAGACAATAGTATTACGAATGCAGCCACAGCACGAAGCAACCTTGACGCAGCCATTACAATGCGATCTGCAGAGACTGAGTTGCAAAACACAATAGAACTACACACAACGGCGTCGGAAATTGTAGCTCCAAAACCGGATCTCGACGCCAGAGCGAAAAAAAAGACGATTTTGAAGCACTTTTTAAAAGGATTTTTAGAAGGAAAATCATTAGCGCCAAAATGGAGAAAATCTGCTGACAAATCACTGTCGCAGCCTTCATGCAGCAACTCCAATACGATTTACGAGATCCAGCTGCAAAAGACAATAGTATTACGAATGCAGCCACAGCACGAAGCAACCTTGACGCAGCCATTACAATGCGATCTGCAGAGACTGAGTTGCAAAACACAATAGAACTACACACAACGGCGTCGGAAATTGTGGCTCCAAAACCAGATCTCGACGCCAGAGTGAAAAAAAAGACGATTTTGAAACACTTTTTAAAAGGATTTTTAGAAAGAAAATCACTAGCGCCAAAATGGAGAAAATCTACTGACAAATCAGTGTCGCAGCCTTCATGCAGCCACTCCAATACGATTTACGAAGTCGAGCTGCAAAAGACAATAGTATTACGAATGC